CAAACAAGACATTTGGAGAGAGCATCTCATTTTCTGAGGAATCATTTTAACCCATAAAAAACAAAAAACAAAAAAAACACTGGATTTTTTTTCCGCAATCATTTACAAGGAATGTGCAAAGTGGAGATTTATCAGGGTCTGGAAGAGGAGATGATGTGTGACTGGATGAAAGGTAATATTTAGAGGCTTTTAAAAGGCCTCTAAAGTTTGCGTCGTTTGCGTCGTCTAACAAATGGTTGCTTTGAAGCAGGGTGAGAATTCAGGACGTGGTGAAATTTGAAGCTGTATTCACACCATCCCTGCTCTTTCCTCTACAATCAAACTCTAATTTGTTTGCCTGGATGGTCCGGTTAGTTTGGGCTGGTGTGAATGAACCTGAAACTCTGATGTGGAACAAAAAAATGAACTTTGGTTCCACCTAAAAAGCTAGGTCTCAGTTAGGTCTCGGTTCAGTTGGAGTGAACTCTGGTGCGGTTTGAATGCGTATGTGAACACCAAGCGGACCGGAAACCTCTCCAGAAGCAGTAAATGGACTTTGGCGCAGGGCATTCTGGGTAAACACAACCAAAACAAACTGGAATCCGGAGGCTCCCGAGATGAGCAGCATGGAGAGCGGGCAGTGAGAAAGATAACCAGGTATTACAAACTGTAGCATAGACGAAAGTGAGAGTACCAGTGTAGGTCAAACATCAGGTATTGAGTTCATGAGGGGAGCGCAGTGACAGGATGAGTTGCTGAGTGCATAAAGACGGACTGTCCCTGCTTCAGAGACCCTTAAAAAAAGAACTGCTGCTCTCACTTTGAAAAGGTTCTAAGTTTAAACAAATTGCCTTTTAAATGTTAACGTTGCAGTTGTTATGTTAACGCCCCAACACTTCTTATCCTATACATCAGTCTCACGTAGTGTTATTCCACTGCTTTCAGCAGGTTACTTTGTCTGTTGAGCTGAGCTGTTATTGTTGGCCACAACATGAAGATGAACGCTTTAAGCTTGAGTCTAGATCAGAAACTCTTATTTTGAAGTGACAAAGGAAGTAGTTTTCACTGGTTGCTACTTTTTTGTTGACAGAGTTAGCTTATTAAGTCATCGGACAAGCTAACGTTTAACACCAGCATGCTAAAAGACGCTACAAGTTTTCTAATACGTCCGGGAACATTTTTGGGATTCAGCAAATGAATGGTCACTGTGACAGACAAGGTGCAAATTATTGTTAAACACTGTGAAAATATCACAACAAGCTCACTGTTAGCCCTTAGTATCACTGCTATTGACTTATACCCTTTGGATTTTTATGTCAGGACTCAAATGAAGGACAGTTTTGCATTTGTTTTTATTACTTTCACCTAAATTGGAACATTTTTACTTAAAAAATGAAAACACCTAATCCCATAACAGGGTTATGCCTACATCTACTGTGTAATATAACCCTATGTACCACTGTGACGATGGGTTCAAGTCAGGGTTTTCTGTATATCAGTCAGTAAAGTTCTTTAAGAGCAGCACAACTTATTGTTTGGATTACTGCAATGTGAGAGGAGAAAACCATGACTTCCTTTGAAAATATCCACAGCTTCTGTGACGGCCCGGCGACCTGTGCAGGGTGTACCCCGCCTGTCGCCCAATGACTGATAGAGATGGGCACCAGCACCCCTCACATCCTTTCAAAGGTAAGCGAGTTAGATAATGAAGGAATCGATGGAAAATCCACAACTTTCTTTATATTTCGTTACTAGGCAAGAGTCCCATGTCAAGACTCGCCGAAGCCACCGCCATGTTTCAACCCCAGGACAGTGCTTCTTGGGTTGCAAGTCGCTTATTTCCTTCTCCAAACATAAGCAGTGTCTCAGCAGGTGTCTGACTAAACAACATGGTTCTGGTTTGAGTGATCATTTCCCAGCGTGTCGGTAGCACACTTCAGTCTGACTTCAAGGTGTCTCTTCTACAGAAGCTGAAGCTTTGTTTTTTTTTTGTCTGTAACCTTACAATCCATCCCTGCGCAGAGCTCTAGTGATCTGTGGAGATGTCCCTCGGTAGTTTTCGTTCCGTGGTATTTTGCTCGCTATCTTTGCCAGGGTTGTTCACGTGTGTGTGTGTGTGTGTGTGTGTGTGTGTGGCCCACTTTGAATTTCTTGATGTTTCTTCTTGCGCCAGTTCTTGACACTTGGCAAGCCTTGTTTATCCTTCTCCTTCTCCTGTTTTCATTAGTATCAATTATTTCAGCCAGTCCAAATCGATCTCTGGTGTTTTTGGCACGATGCTTTCTCGGGTGACAGCTCAAACCCTTCAAAACCCCTTAGTTTTAACTTGATTGCACAAGCTTTGAGCATTAGAAAGTTAAAGAAAATCAATCAAAAGGTCAGTTCTTTAATTTGAGTTAACAGTTTTGATCCTTGTGTATAATAATAATAATTTCAGATGGCAAAGTAAGACAACGAAAGCCTCTAAAACAATACAGATATTTTCAAATCCATAAAAAGGTCTTGCTAACTTCATTCTCAACGACATACATTCAAAAAATGAAGACTGGGATTGCCTTTTGTTCACGAAGGCCTAAAATAGAAAAAAAGCAGATCTGACTCCAGTACCTTCCCACATCACGACGAGTTTGATAAACAGACTAAAACTGGGCTAGCAGGCAAAAATAACACGCGCCTTGCTAAACACTGTAGGGTAGACAAATATAATATATGGTCATTCGTTGCCTAATACTGTAGATTGGAGGATGATACCAGAAACTTGGCAACATAATTGTTTTTTATTGCCGCTATGAATGAGAAAGACTCCCCTTTCCTGGTATCAATTTTCTTCCAGTTGGGGAAAAAAAAGAAGAAAGAAATGGGATCATCTGTTAAGAAATATGATTTGGACAGTTGTAGGCATGATGCGCATTCTTTCCTCCTCGTGACCCTTATCGGATTGAGCAAAGGCAGATCTTCGCAAACCGTTTCAGAAAGCAAGTCAGGTAATTCGCTCGACGTCGTCGCCTCCTGCTGGACCATTTCTCAGTCGGCTCTACATCCCCCCTTGTGACCTTTCTGTTGCCTTTCCATCTTATCGTGTGTTATACATCTAAAATGAGTCCGGTGTCTGTCGTCGAAGCTAACAATGCCATAAATTAGCTTTATCGGGGGGCCAAGGCGTTCACACCTGGGGAAAAAAAAAAAAAAAAAAAAAAGCCTCCGAAGTCGACTTAAAAAGTCCCACTCTCACCTCATTGAGTTATCCTGCTTTTCGGGAGTGTGTTTGGCATAATCATTGTTCAATTATGGCGCAAACGAGGATAAGTGGACACTGCAATGGAGGTAGGGGGAGGTGGGGACAAGGGCATGAAAGACCCTTAAACTGCGCCCTGTCTCACCGGAGATAAGCTGCCAACTCTTCCAGACAGCTCATCTGGAATGATGCTCGACGCGAGGAGGCCGGGATTAGAAGGGATAATAGGTGAAAAGGATGACATGCCAGACCGATATCCACTTCAACGTCTGAGGCATGTTTCCAGTTAAACTCTTCTTCTATCAGACAGAGAGGGAGGGAGGGAGAGGGAGGGGCGCGGCTGATCGCCCGTCTGCCCACGCGTCGCCTGACCCAGGGTCTGGTTGTCGGGGTCGGGCTCGGTGTCAGCGCCGCGTTTTCACATTTTGTCTTTCACTTTTCGCATCAGACGCAAACTTAGGCAGAATAATAATAATAGCAATAAAAAAAGATAAATAAATAATGTGAAAGACTATGACAGAGTATTAGAGCCATGTTAACCCTTTCATGCATGAATTATGATCCTTTGTGTCAGGATTTTTTCCACTTTTTTTTCTTAAGGCATAAAAACAAGGTAGGAAAAAAATTTTGTAAAAAAAAATATACATTTTTGTTTTTTAGGTGATCAATTGTAATTTTCTCCAAATACAAAGTTATTTTAAAAATACATCAGTATCCTTAGGGGTTACCTCTGATGTCACAATATTTTTTCTACAGTAGAAGGAGGTCGGCTGGTGTGCTTTTTAGTTTGTCAGCCATATTGGATTTAACAAAAATCATTTCTTGCATTTGCAGCTGATGACCAGTAGTTGATAGTGTATTTTATGATGCATTAATGTTCACTTCAGTGGTCTGTGTGTATTTATAACATAAAAATCCACAAGAAGCACAAGAAAATGGCTTTTAGATAGCTGTCCACTGTAGTGACCACTAAGAATGAAAGGGTTAAGAAACAAATTCAATAAAAACACAAGATTAATATCATAATAATCCAAGAAAAAAGTTGTACAAGAATAAAGTTGTAATAATATGAGAATCAAGTCATATTATTACAAGTTGTAACACTGACTTTATATTTATAATATTCAGACTTTATTCTCACACAAATGTATTCTTGTAATATTAAGAGTTTATTTTAATTATTTTGTGACTTTGTCGTAATATTATTGATTTTTTGTTTTTGTTTTTTTGTCTTAGCGTGGCCATTGTTCTTCATCGTAGGGAGACAACAGAATATCCAAGAGAAGAAAAAAAAAAAAAACGCTGCACAAGGTGAGTATTCCAGCTGCTGGATCATGGGGGGTACTTAGTTTTTCCGTTTACCTGTTTTAGGCGGGTCCAGGGGTGGGAGGGTGAAAGCCTAATCCCGAGAGCTGACCATAAAACCTGGGGGAATTATATCAGGATTTATGTGTTTTTGCAACAGGAACAGATAAAACAAGGATAAGATAAGTTGGGAAATCAAAACGGACCTTAACCCTGTAAGTGCCGGACACAGAAAATCCAACTTTTCAAATTGTTTTGCAGGAGTACTTTTTTTAAATTTATATTGTGAGGTTTTATAAAATTTTTTTAGAATATTAAATATAATGTAAAACATCTTGCGCAAGTGTTGCACCAGACTCACACATCCTACAAACTGCAACGATCAACTTCCATCCAACTTTTCTACCCAATAGTGTTCAAAGAATGAAAAATAGGGTTCAGTCTCTAAGTTTGGGTAAAAAAAAACCCCAACACAAACAAAGAGAAGAAAAGTAACTTGTGCTTTTATTTTGTTTGACATAGTCACTGTAACATCACAAAACTGGGACAAGGTTAAACAATTTGCTACTTAATATTTCCTTTGTTTTCTGATTTGCTTCCTCTGGCTTCTCGATGCATGTGTGTCTGATAATGTTTCACAATGTCTGTGTGGTCCATCATGAAGTTCTTGATCTGAGAAGGAAACACGCACACACACACACACACACACACACACACACACATCAGTTCTTTCTTTTCTTACCCCGGCTGCCTTACGCTACTTCCCCCAGGTCACTTACCGCCTCCAGTTGTTTCTCCGTGTCGTGGATGTGCAAACCGCCCACTCCAGTCACCCCGCCGGCCATTTCGAACAGGTTAAGGGTCGCGTACGTAATCTGGCCCAGCTCCAGCGTCTTCTTTGCAGCCGTTTCCTGAATTTGGTTCCACTGCCTTTCCTGCAGAAACACAAGCGACAACTGAGCTTCTCTCGGAGCATCTTTAGCTTCCAGGCTACAATGAGGCTGTGATTAGGCGTTCCCGTACCCATATCAGAGCTTCAGAGCGGGCCTTTTCCAGCTCGGTCTGGAGCTGTGACAGGTGGTTGTTCTTTTGCAGCAACAGCAGGTTGTGGTTGTCCTTCAGGCTCTGGCAGGCTTTCTTCTGCTGCTCCATGTGCTCCTGCACCTGAGTCTCCCTCTGGTACAGCTGATCCCTGATGTAGAGGAGGTTCTCTAAGTAACCCGTGAGCTCGTCCACGTTGGTAAACTGCGAGACACAGAGTTAGGGTCGCCTGGTGACAAACGGGAGCAAAAATAAATGCGAAGTTCAAAACAAATTTAAGGGTGCGTTCGCACCGGCCCTGTTTAGTCCGCTTTAATTGAAATCCAGTTCGTTTGCCCAGAAAGTCCGGTTTGTTTCGGAAGGTGTGAGTGTGCAATCGACCCAAAAAGCAAAACTCCGGCCCGCCTGAAAGCCTTGGTCTCAGTTCGGTTAAAGTGAACTCTGGCGCGGTTTGAATGCATGTCGGACCGGAGAGCGCTCCTAAAGCAGGAAGTGGACTATAGTGGAGGGCATTATGTGTGTAGGAAAAGGACAGATGGGATAGATCCACTATCATGTTGTTGTTGTTTTTTTTTCTCAGATGTCCAAATGGAAAAGTTAAAACAAAAATAAAGTAAAAAAACGAGTCGTGGTTTTAGATTTTTGAAATTTCCACAGTTCAAGTTTTAATCAGAGTTGGGCAGAGAACCCAAAGGTTTTACTCAAGTAAAAGTAAAAAGCTATTTGAAATCAAAGCTACTCAAATACAAAAAATGATGGGATAAGACAGACAAACATAAACTCATGTACACACTGTGATATTTTAAAGACTAACATTAAAAGATGCAAATCCTTACAGTGGACTCTCCACACTCGTTACCTACAGATGCACCTATTCACACATTTGTCTGTTGAACGTAACTCTAAATTATTTGCAAAAAACCCACTTTTTCACAGATTTTTGTGTACATCTTTAAAATGTGAAAGTGCTGCTTGACATGCTATTGGCTGTATCTCCGGATATCGAAGAGCTCCTGCAGTGATGCCAGGATGGTTTCCACCCAATGCATTAATCAAAAATAAGAAATTCAGGCAAAGGAAATACTTTTTCAACTATTAGTTTTTCTAAGTTAGAGTTTATTAATCTAATCCTTACACTGCGTAACGTACAGTATACTTGTTAGAGGATGGTAGAGATGACATGTGGTGTTAACTGAACCGTCACTTGATCTTCAAATGTCTCAGCAGGTTTAACATGCAGAAAACAGCATCAGAACCGCAAAAACCCGATGTCTGACTTCAGCATAAATTGCTTGCGTGTGTTTCTGTCTTCTGCATTTTTGGTTAAAATGTGTTTGTTATCTTTTTCTGATCAGTCCTAGCTTTTAGGGCTAACATTTTGAAAATATGGAAGATGTACTGAATATGTGGAGGATTCAACAGAGTTGCCAGATGAAGGGACAATCTTGGAGATGTTGGTGAAAACCTACGGGATGCTGTAATGTCTTTGTCAGGTCTTTTTTCTTTTTAACTTCATTTGGACTGTTTCAACTGAACTTGTGTCCTTTTTTTCTCGTCATTTCTACCAATGAATTAAAAGAAAACTGCGCCACACGTCGGGTCACTTCCGTACTTTTGTTAGTTTGAGCACGCGCTCCAAGAACTCCCTGTAGGGTATGTATTTGAGGGTCTGAAGCTGCATCTCCTGCTTCCTCTTCTTCAGCTCCTCACACTCCTCCTTCAGCCGCTGTATTTCCGCCTCCTTCTCCAACGCCTCCTTCATCTCCTTCTCAGCCATCAACCTGTCGGATTCCGTTTCTTCGTCCTGGAGCAGAATGACGGATTTACTCAGTGCCATAGACAATCGCGTAAACAATTTGTGCGTTTTTGGACATTTATGGAGACATAAGATCAGCATGAAACACACTCAGAAATTTAAGTAATGTAATCCAAAACCTAAAGCTGAAGATGTAGTTTGAAAAGTGATTTCTGGTGAGAAAAATTTAAGGACATCCCTACATTTATTCCCACTCATCATTTGAGGAAGGCTTGTTTCAAATTCAGACATTTAGTTTGGTGTGGTGCTGACTGTTGCGCACCAAAGGAAAGAGCTGTCAGTGCCGTTATAATGGGTTTAAAGAAGTCTCAAGGAACTTCAGGTAAGCCACTCCACTGTACAGAACATAGTCTACAAGTGGAGGAGATTCGATACAACCGCCAGCATGTCAAGGTCTGGTTCATCAAAGAGTAGGACACAAGAAAGGAATAAAGCCTAATGGCGTGTTCACGCCAATCGTCTACGTGAAGGCGCGTCAAGAGCTTGTCGTGGCATGTTTCGTGCGTTTAGCATGGAGCAGTCTGAAGCGTTTGGAGCGTTGGACGAGGCAAGCACATCCAACACCTTCGATAAATAGGCCAGCAATGGAAAACAAGAGCGAGAGCGATTTTGACACTTCTGACGCACCTCCACATAGACTTTGAATGTAAACCAGATGCGCCCGATGCACGAAACGCTAGGTGTACAGCAAAATGTCAAGCATCTGCATTCAAAGGGCACACGCGTCGAACTTGAAGCGTCAGATGCGTTTTTGACAAGCGTAACGCTTTTGGTGTGAACACACCATAAGAAAAAAATGAAATTAAGCCTGGGAAAATGAAAAGAAAAGTCATTTTTGTCTATTTTGGCTGTGTGTAGTTAGGCTATGCGCATGTCTCTTTTAGACAGTCCGTAGCCACGTGACTTCACCCCATCCAGACTTCACAAGAAGTGAAAGAGATGGTCGAGAAAACGGAAGAATTTTCAAATGTTGTTTGGCAACATTTTGTAGGACTGCCTGGCTGAAGTTTGGAGAACGCTGCCGTTACGTAGCGCTCGTCTCACGGCGCTACCCAACGCAGTCAGAGGTGGAATATAACAATACTCCATTTACTGTTTTTGAGGTGAACTGCTCAACATATCATGATATAGACTTTACGCCGTATCGCCGAGCCCAACCTGAAGGCCAAACTGAAGTCTGACAGATTGAGTCGAAGCTCCAATCTTCATCTCACAGAGGTGCTTTTGGGTGAATTGAAACAAGCCGTACAAACAGGAGACGCCTGTAAAAAAAATCCTATAGTTGAAAGTGAAGACTGGACTAACTATCCTCAAACAGATGTCTGGTGGATGGCAATAGGAAGTATCTTACAGAAATGACTGTAGTTAAAAAGGAAAATGACTAGTTTGTCAAGGGGGAGCATGTCCTATCTTTATTCCCCAGCTAGTAAACAAATGTTTGTTGAGATCTTTCTTTTCAGAGAAAAAACAGGATTAAACATTTATATGTGAGCACACTTTAATATAAAAATGAATATTTAGCAGTGTTCAATAATGTCTTACAGAATGTCAAACTTGAAAACTTGATAAACATGTTTGTGTGTGTGTGTGTGTGTGTGTGTATGTGTGTGTGTGATTTTTGGAAGTACCCGAAAAAACATTTCCAGCTTGAAGCGTTGCTCACGTGCTTCCTTTGCGATTTGCTTCAGCTCCTCATTACGGCGATGTAGATCAATCAAATACTGCCACAAAACAAACAAACAAAAAAACAACAAACAAACATTAACAAAACAGATATTCAGTTATAGTCATATGAGTCATACAATATGAGTTTTGACATGGCATACAATGAAAACATTATGATTCTAGATATAAAGAAGTAAACAAACAGAGCTGGATGTTTAAAAAATTAGGATTACATAAATGGAAAATGTTACATCATAAAAAATAAACAGTTCTAACTTATGCCTTGGTGGCTAAGATATCTAAGCCTAAGGCTAAGTTTAAACCAAATGTTTTGTCTGGCCTGAGACAGCATTAAAATCCATCCCACTGGAACGTTTCACAAAGCACCAACTGTGTTTTGCATAATCTCTGCTACAGCATAATTCTGCCCAGATTTGAGCTTCCTGTTGTGTTTTTAACATAAACCTCTCCTTGTGATCTATTTCAGCAATCAATTGAGCTGTGCAGGTGTTTTAAACTGAACCAACAAGAAAGGCGGTATAAGAGAGAGAGAGAGAGAGAGAGAGAGAGAGAAATTGCTTTTATTTATTTCTAAACATCTGGTCAAAGGTTTGAACAAATCTAGTCAAATCTGTCTCTCCTGCTTCATGGTCTTGTTAAGGTCGTGATCGAGGTCAGCGGTCTGCAACCGGCAGCTCCAAAGTCACTTGTGGGTCGTAATAACTCAAACATAATTACAAACACTATCTCTGTGTTTTTTGGGAAACCCTCTGCATCACATTCACTTTTTATTAGGTCACAAGCTGACTTTCAACATTTCAGAAATGTAGGATTCAAGGGAAATGCATCACATAAAACATTTTTTATCTAATTTTTCTGTCTTCTAAAATCTAAAAGCAGCAGTGAAAAAAACTTTTTATTGATTCAAGTAATACAAGAAAGGGCTGTGAGCAAATTTCATTTGGTAAGACACTGAAACGGGTTTTTGGATGGTAAAGGGTTTTGGTCCCTGGTTTAGTCGTCAAATCTGAAACCACACTAAAGGCGCTTTCGCACTGCACGGAACGGAACGGTTCCGAGCGTGTTCGCATTACAACTTGCGACCGGTTCCACCCGGCCCCATGGAACCACAAGAGCTGTGGTTCCAATCGTGCCGGCCAAGCGGTTCTGCTTAGAACCAGCAGCTGATTGGCCGCTGGTTGTTATGGAGTCAGACGTTGATTTTCCGTTGACAGCTGGCTCTCACTACTATATTTTGTAAAGAGTGCTCTTTGTAATATTTTTTATTAAATTGGCAGTTATCAACCAACCAACTCAAACCACATTGTTTAGTTTTAAAAATAATGACGTCCTGCACCGCTTCGATGGCGCCCTCAGTGCAATGCGAACATAACAGGGCTGGAACCGTTCCGTTCCGTACCGTACCGTTCCGTACCGTACAGTACCGTACAGTGCGAAAGCGCCTTAAGACAACAAAACTGTAAAAAAAAAAATGCTAATGTTTTGAGTTTTCGCAAACTAAATTATGAAAATCACAAACCGTGTTTTAGAAAATTTGAAGACGTGAAGTAGAATAACCAATTCTGTCTGATGTAGTGAACAAACAAAACAGACCGTCCCAAACCTGTTTCCGCTCATGGGCCTTCTGCTTGAGCTGCTCCCGATCTCTTTCCATCTGCCTCAGCTCCATCTGCGCTGCTATAAATTCTCGTCCAGTCATCGCGACTTTGACAGTCGGCTTAATCTTCCTGCAAACACAAACATAGAACAAACGTGTTGTCCACGACGGACCGGATCGGACCGGGTTCGGCTGAACTTCGCATGGGGTTCGGGGGAGGCGGGGAGGAGAACTTACGGACAAACCTTCCGGTCGCTGGTCATCTTGGAAAACATTTTTGCTCCGTTTCCCGTCGGCCTCCAGATGTTTTGTTTTGTTTTTTTGTTTTGTTTTGTTTTTTCCTGAATGCAATTCGCTTCTACAGTAAACTCTCGTCGTTTCTATGGTAACGGGTCGCTTTCTTTTACGGGCGCAAACTGACGTTTGTTTTGAAGGGAAACAGAGCGTTATGTATGGAAGCCTGAGAGTGCCATTTGTAGGTGTCTCAGCTTTCGGGATTAAATGTAATGTGACAAAGATTTAAGGCTACTGGAGAGTGAAAGAAAATAAAAATGTGGCCACTGAGGAGTATAATCCTACATTTCTGAATTAATTTTGCATAATTGCTAAATAAATAAATAAATACATAAATAAATAAAGATATTCTCTCGTGTGGAAAAGTTGTACATTTGCATTACTTTTTTTTTCATGATTAAGGGCAAGGGCGTAGGAACGAGTCTGTCATTGGGGGGGACGCATA